GCACTTAAGCGAAAGAAGAGAATTTATAGCTTTTGAATACAGCAGCCTCACTATTAAGCAGGAGTTAAAAGGAAGAGGTTAAGTGAAGAAACAGTCACCCATTTTATATGATTAAGAATGATCAAATTATAGTCAGTCATAACTAATAATCAACTGACAGCTTTCCAATCAACACAAAATCCATTAACTGACATAGTATGCCTGGTAATCCTACCAGGCCACTGCAACAATCCTACATTTGTATTACTGTAGCATTAAATTAGGTATTTCTCAGAAAAAAAATCCATGCCATTTCTGTATCTATCTGCCTGATGCATTTAAATTATGTATTTGCATACATTAAAATTATCTTTCTCATTGCAGAATTCCTGATAATACATTTCCAGCCTTGGTGATAGCCAGAAATATGGACTATTTATCATATGTGAAAAGACAAAGTACAACACAACAATAAATCAAACACTGCAGAACCAACACTAAAACAACAGGAGAGTTTGAATGCCATAGTGTCTTCTATAACACACATTCTTAACCTGCGATCTGTTTATTCTCTTGGGTATAACTGAAATTGTGAAGAGGTACTTTTGCTTTTTTAGTTCTACCTGAAAATAATATATATATTTTTTAAGTATTTGCTACCCTATGGAATACAAACTAGGTAGTTATATATAATTATGTAAAACATATAAAGGATTTCTTAAAACACATTTAAATTGTACACTAATTGATCCCTCTGCCCATGCTAACTATATCCTCTAGTACTTATCTTAGACTCGGGGCTGCTCCATAGACTGAGAAGACAGGAACAGTGACAGCTCCTGGACTGGCATACAAGGGGCTATTATATAGTATGGGGAGGAGGGCCTGTTAGCATTAAGTTACTTTCCCTACTACAGCGTTCTAAATGCATGGTTTCAGGAAAGCTTCTATTATAAGACTTTGTGCTCATATAGAATGTCTGATATAATATATGTTAATATTTGCATTAACTCTGTGTATATATACTCCTTTCTCCTTCAATACATGCAGTGATGACATACTATTGTAGCACTCACCCCTGAAGGAGCCACCAGAATAACGCGGGTACTTCTGTCCTGAAGCAAGAATTCACCACCCAAACAGAATCCACAGCACACCAACACACCTTGTGAAGTTTTCTAAGAATTTTACTGAGCAAATTACTTCTTATGATTGGCCAAACAAATAAATGGAATACCATAGTAAGAAGAAACAGTATTTAAGAATATACTTTAGTATTAGGACACTCTGTAGCCACTGCTTCTTGATGGACTAATGTCTTTATTCAACCTCAAATACTATGTAACTATGTAACTGAAACATACTGTTACACTACTGGCTAGCCATCGTTGGAGTCCACTCTGTGCCACTGAAATAGTGGATGCTGATAAATGCAAATGGCCAGAGCCCTCTCACAACTTCATAGTCAACCCTGCAGTAGTGATGCCCGTCAGTGAGAGTCGGGCATCCCCTTGATCTCAGGGCGACAGCCTTTTTGAGCCTTGTGGCATTAGCTGTACCTTGAAGATTATCTCTGGTCACAGGCAGATGCTTAAGAACTCTCTGCAGATGCCTCCTAACACCATGTGGACTACTGGGCCTCAGTAGATCTCTCGCTGACCAGAGATTGCCGTTCGTCCAGGCCACAATATCCCTGCTGTGTGTATTACACTGTGCCCCACAGCAACGACCGTTCGAAAGACACTGATGACCGCTGACCTGGGAAATCCTCTCTCCGGGTATTCTCCAGGTTGAACATGCTCCCCCAGACAGTTCTACACAGAGTCTATGGCTCCTCTGCCTCAGCATCAGCCACACGCATAGATCTGTACAGCTTGCTGGCTTCTCCCAGATTGAGTGTGAACTGGAACTCCAGCCCAGCCCATTCCTCCTGCTCCAGTGCCCAGCCATCTGGGAATCATAGTCCTTACAACCCCCCACAGCATGATCTCCTACTGTAACTGAACTACAACTCCCACAAGTCTCTCTGTATCATAGGCTGTACAGTAAAAATTTACTATTTACAAGCAGAAGTATATCTGATTCGGTAGCAACTCATATAGGGGCTACACTATCATATAAAAACAAAGAGCTATAAAACTTCCCACCAATAGTGTATTCCAATGTGTAAATATTATCAACATGTACTGTATATATACACAATAATTGGCATATAAAATACATTATATAAACAAAGATGTGATCATAGTTATAAAGTGCTCTTGTGCTTGATCATCTAAGTTCATTTAAAGTGCTCTGGTGAATGTCCATACATCAACCTTATTTGTGTCACATCAAATACCACCAACTTGTTGCTCTCTACAAACTTAGACAACTCACCAGATCCGGTGAGACCTAGTATGTGTCAAAAAACGCCTTAATAATCTAGTCTTTTCAATGGGTTACTTCCACCATCTTATCCATATATCAGACTTAATTATTTTTCCAAATTCCTGCATTATATTAACTACAAGTCTATTTTTATACTGTATTGGCCTTTTGGGTGACACCATTCACCATTGACAGACATCTTTTTCTCCAGCTGGTCAGCAAAATAAGGAGCACTATGGCACATAATGCTGACCACTGCAGTCTATACATTGGTTTGTTGCTGATTGCTAAGTAGTTTCTATTAATATAAATTACATGTATTCAGTCATGCAACGCTGTACTGAAATTAATTTTATATAATTTTTTTGGAACAGATCGAGCTTCCTTTTGTGGTATTTACTCCCCACCTTTTTTTTTTTTTTTTACTATAAAAAAAAAAGTAGCTAAAAAAACCCAGTTTTCTCTACATAATGTTATGAAGCATTTATTAGTACCCATTTTTTTGGTAAAATATAAAAGATTTCACATTGGGTAAATAGGCACCAAACATGTCAAGCCTTAAAATTGCATGCACCCGTGAAATCCCAAAAAACTACCATACCCAGAATTGGCCATATGTGATGCTTTAAAAGCATTTGCTGCGCATCATTTTAGTGTCAACAGTGATTGATGGCCCTAGAATTATTACTCACACTCCGATGTTCGCAGTAATATGTACCACGTGAGGCAAATGGGAGCAATCATCGCTTTCGCACGTAAGTGCACCCGACACATGTTTGCATTTGCATGTGTGTGTACATGGGGGCAGTGGACTTTCAAAATGTTTTAGTTTTTTTATATGTGACTCATTTTTTAAAACCTTTTTTTTTTAGACTTCACTTTAGCCCCCTATGTGATAGCAAATGTACAGGTCCTCTTTATGGAGACATCAGGGATCTTTTAGATCCCTAAAGGCACCTAGGGATCCCCAAAGAAGCTGATGAAGCAAAGATCTGCTTCACTAGCTTCTCTCCAGCCACAGAACTGGAGAAATTACAGGCTGAAGGCACAAGTGATGTAATACATAGAGGGGAGATCAGCGGGAGGACTTGGGACTAGGGCCCATTTAGACTATGGCATTGTGGAAAAGCAGCAAAGCCCATTATATGTGTTGGGGAGTTACGATGCCATTAAGGTTGAATGGCACCCCAAAGCACTAAGGCTCTGTTTACACTACTGTTGTGCTGAGTTGAGCTGCACTGCACAACAATGGAAAATCACATTATTCTTAATGGTGCCTGTTCACATCAATGCAACATGGTGCAGTGTGGTTTTTGGAGAGGTGCTGGTGCTTTATTTGATGCTACACAGGGAATCTTTGGCCCCATAGACTTCAATGGAAATGCATAAAAATGTATGTACATGTACAGTATGTTGACACATTTTTTGGTGCATTTGTGTGCCTTAAGTCACCGCAAAGGGAGCCTACACCTTATGATGTGACAGCAGCTATTACTTGTCATTGGCCAAAAGAAAAATGTACAAAGCATGAAGGATGTGTTGGTGTATTGGCACCTAATGGGCTGCCATAATGCAACACACATTAATGTGCATCGAAACAAGTATTAACATACCAAAAAAATTAGAAATGGGTCCCCAAGGTTTGTGTAGATGGGCAAAGGCAGCATGCTTTCAGGTGCATTAAGTTCACATTCAATGTTTTTTTTAATGTGCTTAATTCCTTTTAAATGCTTTTGACCTTCTTAACTTTTTTTAAGCTGCTTTTGAATTCCATTTGCTTTGTTAGGGGGAAAAATGTTCTGAAGAAACAAAGCTCTGATACTTTTCGACTTAATGAAAGCTAAAAATAGAATCAGTTTAAGAATGAGACTCTAATAACTAAGGGGCGGCACATATTGTGAGGTAGTTCTTCTCCAACATACTTTAATAAATCAGCTATTCTTTTATATGCTGATCGGAATGTGGAGAAGGAGCAGTCCATTTAGAGCTGAAAGTCCAAACGCTGAGCTGTAAATTAATTATGATGACATAAAGGGTATGGTGAGACCTCTAGTTCCTTAACAACTGGAGGGGGTGCATTCATTATTTATGATTAAATAAAATTGAAAATTTAACACACTGCACTAGATGAACAGACATCTCACTGGACAGCTCTTAAGAATTATCATGCTTGTCTCAGAATGTTGGTCAATTTTTTTAAGTTAATTAAAACAGAGTCAGCCTGACTTTGACCTGCCCAAAAGCAAGGCAAAGGATATTTGAGCCATTGCCATGGTCTGTTCAATAGCAAGAAAAATGTCAACAGTTTAAGAGCATACTAATTGACCTTGGAATTTTTATAATAAAAAGAGCTTCAAGGAAGACACAATAAGTTGTTATGAAACAAAATAAACACAGCATTTTTAATCACTCACTATATGCTGTTACAGACAAAGGAAAAAAATAACAGAACCATAAACACAGAAACAGAGACTGAGCACTGAATTATAACTCTACAACATAATAAAATGATGATGCTGAAAATGTTCAGTGATTTTATGAGCATAAACATTGCAATATACACTGACATTTACTGATTTAGTCTTTATTATGTTTTTTTCCTATGCACTGTTCCGCACAAAATAACCATACTTAAACCAGAATAATCAGACTCACTCAATAAAGTAGACTTCTCCTTTTTCTGTGTACGCCATCTCCCAGTTATCAGGCAAGGACCCCAGCTCGTCATTTTCATCAGGCTTCAGCTGTTTCTTGAGATCCGTGCTGTCTTTCGACTCTGAGTCTGGCAGGCAGTATAATGGAGTGGTATAAGGCTGGGATGAAATCTCACCTGAGGCATCTGTACTCTTGTCTTCATGTTCACTCGATTCTACATGAGACATAGAAATACACATTTATCACCTTTGCCCTCTAATGTGCTTCTGAGCATTTCAAAGCACAGAAGAGCTGCTCCAGTCAAGCCCTCATCTCAATGTGCAACACATAATCAGAAATGCACTATTTAACATAAAACACATCCAGGATCATTTTACACATAGCAGAAGCTTTATGCAATCTACATGTATAGAATACTATATAAAGTGACACTAAACTCAGGAGTTAAATCTTAAAAATGCATTCAAGTACCCTATTAACAAATGTATCTTATTTGTGTATCACTCAGCTGTAGATCCTCAAATCATCTCTGTGCTGACACTGTCTTTGCTTCTGGATTTTAATTTTATATCACGCAAAATTATTTTAATAAATAGCTGTTTGGGATTCTAATGTTATTCAGTTACATATTAATAGATGCACTTTTTAACAGTTGTTTAGAAAAAAAGACAAATTAAAGATTCATCCTTTTATTCTCCAATTTTGTTCAGATTTGAATCAGTTTGGTGGCTATTGGACAAAACCTAAAAAAAATTAAAAAACCCAAGTAAAAGCCCTAAAAATATTAATGCATTGCTAACACAAGCAGTCTTGTTGCTGTCAGAAACTGAATGATTAAGACCCTGTATTTTCACCTATGGTAAGATTTGCTGCTGGATGGACCAGCAAGGTGTCATCTTGTTGCATCTGTCTCAGTAGCAAGCAAGATTATGCAGCATTTTTGACCAGAAGGAATGATGTCCATTAGAAGAAATGGTTGCTGCACCTCCATGATTCTGCAGTTGCCGACACATAGCCAATGGCAGAAGCACCCTTCTGACATTAGCCTTTATATGCAAATATTTGAATTTTAAAAATGTAGAATCTACCATGCTAGTGTTACCATGTCCAACAATGCATATATGTCAACTTCTCTAATTTGGGCAGAAGTGTCACAACAACATTTTTAAATCTCCAGTGACCGAATGTGCCCACAGAGCACTGAACTAACATTCCATGTCCACTTTCTAATTGATCTTAATTAGAAGCCAGGGCAACCATAAAACTTAACACTTGCTTATTTCTGAGGGCTCAGCATGATACACACCAGAGAGGAGCAGAGAGGATCAGTCAGCTAACCAGAAGCTTTGCCATGCTTTTCCTTGGTAACAAGGTAGGCTCTCTGACAACATGGCAGTCTTGATTGTAACAAACCTGAACATCCACCCACAAACAACAGTTTATGTAGAGGTAAACTATAAAAGCTACTCTATTTCACAAAGTCATGCACAGTAAAAAGCTTTTTTTTCTGTTTTATTCAGCAGCAATAATGATATGTCTGAAAAACACCACAATTAATACAACCAGCAATGGTGCAATGACTGTACCAATCAATGCCGTGGTACTGAGCAAAAAAATATTTTAAAAATGTAAATAAATTGTAAAATTAAAAAATAAATAAAGATGAAGAAAAAAACAAATCGGGCAAAGCCAGCAGTGACAGCTAGCTCCGCCCAACTGATTTCTATTGGCCGGCACCTGCTAGAGTCTTCTAGCAGGTCCCGCCCAATGAATAACAACTGGGTGGAGCTGGCCATGACGTCACGGCCGGCTCCGCCTAGTTATTGTCTAATGACAGATCAGAGTCAGCAGGTCATTTGGGGACGTTGATCTGTCATTACAACTGGAGCCCTTTGGTTCGACTGAACCAAAGGGCTCCGGTGGCTGAAAGATCAGCCGAAGCTACGGCTGGATCCTTCGGCTACTTCGTTAATAATCCCCTCTGTGTTTGCTCAATACACTTTCAGGGTTATTCACAAAAGGGTGAAGAGTTTGGAGAAAGCAGGAGAAGTGAATAATCTAGAAAATAGCTGGACTGGAAAGTGAGCTGAAATGCATATTAATTGATCCAGTCATTCTGTGGCTGAAACACCAGTGTGAAGACGTTCTTCCATTTTAACCCTAGACTGAATTATTTATTTAGAAAGGCCTAGCTCAGAGCAATCAAGAAATACTGTCCCTTGTGGACTATTTCAGTTTATTTTCAATAAACTGGTGAATGTGAAGGATGTTTAATAACATACACTTCTTCTAACAAAGGGGTTTAATCATTCTATGAATGAGTGGGAGTCATCACGCTTACACATTCTCCTGCACCACATTTTTAGGGTGGTGCAGAAGAAATTGATGCCCAAGAGCACTGGGCTGCTGTTTTTTGACTCATTGCTACAGATGACATTTACATTTTACTAGATATCAACATTAAAATTATAAATATTACTGACATATTTCTACCTACTGACCCCATTAGTACACCAGATATATTACTTAATGTGATTTTTAGAGTCTTCATATAGCATAATTTAACGAACAGGCAGGATTCCTAAATGTATGCATTTTATCAGGATGTTACTAACAAGGGACAAATTACTGGCACATTAGTAAGCATACTTGTATGAAAGCCAAAATGAAATATGAAAGACTGGGCAAAAAAATTCTAGTTTGCCATTTTTTGCAAGTAACCATGGTTTCTTTTTCCTGATTTTAATATGCCATTAGCTGTTTTATCTCGATATACTGTATATGGCTTCACACATCAAAATGCTACACAGAGTTCGTCCATAAAAATGATAAAAAAGAGACACACACTGACCTGGTGTTACAGCTACTCCATTTCCATTTATTACTGGTCTCTCCTCTTCCTCCTCCTCTGGAGGTTCAATCCCAGTCTTCTCCATGTTGCTTACAGATTTATTGCGCTTGCGTTTCCCCTCAACTCTTGGAATGCCACCAGGAAATATATGGTCTGTTGCATTTAATAAAAGTGGAGCAGGTTCAGCTGGAGGCTTTGGAGTGCCGTAGTAATTTTCTGCAAATAGATGTAATATTGATAGTTTATTAGCCAAGAAATGTAAGAAGAAAACAAGGGGTCTGTCTTCATGTGCATGTCAATAAGTACAAAAGCAGCCTCATAACACAGATTGCAAAACAGAGATCTAAATAAAATACAGTTCGTAAGCAGAGCCCTTGTCTGGAACTAGCAATCTAGCATCTGGTCATGTTACTGTTCAGTGATTATCCATTGAAATAAAAAATTATCAGCTGTTTTCCGTTTTTGTTGTCTATCTCTTATGCACTGCACTTTCCATGCAATTCCCTTTGTTTCCCATGACAAGCTTATAACACTGTTGAATGTCCAGTGAAAAATACTGAGGGCCTAGGTTGTTACCTGTGTTTAAGAGTAGCTCATATGTACTTAAATATATTCATATTTAAAACACATATGAAAAGGTACAGTGTTATGATTTGGGCAGCACCGTGGATCAGTGGTAAGCATTTCTGCCTTGCAGCAATGGTTGGTTTGAACACTAGTCATGACACTATCTGAATGGAATGTGCATGTTCTCCCTGTGCTTGTATGGCTTTCCTCCCACACACCAAAGACATGCTGGAAGGTTAATTGGCCCTAGTGTATGCATGTATGTATGTGAGATATGGTCCTTACATTGTAAGCACCTTGAGGGATGGGAGTGAGGTGAATGTTTGGTATGTAAAGCGCTGCATCAACTGCTAGTGTTATATAAATGCCTGTTATAATTTATAACCCTAACCCCTCTGTATTGAAATTGTATTGTAATTGTACTGTCTCCCTCCATTTTGTAAAGCTCTGTGCAAATTGTTGGCGCTATATAAATCATATATAATAATGTATATGTCACAGACGACCACAGACGACCACTTTACTTCTTTTTAAACAATTCTAACCACTCATGCTAAATATATTTAAAAAGTATAACCTAAATGCCAACATGATATCAGCCAAGAATGGACTGTGTATATAACAAATACACAAAACGTGCATTGTTGTTTATGATGCACAGTGCTTTAGCAGACTAAATGTAATTTTATAAGGTTTCACATCTACTAAAGTGTGAATTTCACTATCACATATTTTTTACCAGTACTTTTTTTGAGAGCAAAGATGTACTTTCAACAGATGAGGTGGTAGGTAAATTCAAGCTTTTACTTAAGTAGAAAACTTAAGGAGTGACATTTAGTTTTGCCTTGTTTTACACTTTTTTCATCCTTTGTTGCATCTCATTGCTGCTGATCTCCTGCAGTAGTTCCCAGGGCAGGTTTCCTTTGGTGACAACAGGGTACCATGTCTGCTTAAAGCAGGGGTAGCCAATCTTTGGCTCTCCAGCTTTGGTGAAACTACAAATCCCATGAGGCATTGCAAGACTATGACAGCCACAGGCATGACTTCCAGAGACAGAGGCATGATGGGATTTGTAGCTGTAGGGTTGAAGTTTGGTTACTCCTGGCTTAAAGCAATCCTGTCACTTCAGTATATTAAAACACAAACAGCGTGTCCAAAAAAAGGCTTAATACTTGCCTTTCTGGCAGGCAGTAAGGGGAATCTTCACTCTTGAAGAGCCACAAGTGCCTCTGCAATCTGACACTTCCTGGTGTGTTGAATGTCAATACTGTGTCCTGCAGTGGTGTGGGTGGGAGAAACCACAGCCCCTGCTGGGGGACCAGCTCTCCAACACATTTGCAGAGGTAGCGAACAGAACGACCGAGCCGAATCAGCTATTCACTCTCTGCTGTTGGGCCCCTTGGAGTGTAAGGGTGAACAGCAGGGAATGAACTGCCGAACGTTCACTAAACAGCAAACGGGTTTTTCACCTCGGTTCAGCTTAATGTGCTGAGGCTGTTTGGCCAAACAGAAGGGTGGTGAAGTGAGCTGAATGCAGCCGCTGCAAGGCTCAAAATAGCCATACTGTGCTGTTATTATTATACAGGATTTATATAGCGCCAATAGTTTGCACAATGCTTTACAATATAAGGAAGACATTACAGTCACAATACAATTTAAGACAAGATGGTAAGGGGGGCCCTGCCCGTGAAGGCTTACAATCTAAAAGGGAGGGGCAAGTGATACATGAGGTGGTAATAATAATAATAATAATATATTGCGGGTTCCAATAGAGCAGTGGCTGCTGTCAATGGTTCAAATCCTCTTTAAAACTCTGCATAATTTGCTGGTACTATATCAGATAAAAAGCAAATTAAATGATGAATTTAAAAAAACCAGAGCGGTAGATAACCACACGTAACAAAAGTGATGAGGAGAGAGATATACTATACTATCATGTTTTGAACCCTTATGGGAAATACCTGTAATGTTAATTATATTTATATAAATTATGAGAGACTGCAGTTATCTTGCAGTTGTATTTTTTTGTCACTAACTGATAGCTGGTATCTTGGGAAATTTGTTGTGGAAAATTAGCTCTGGGCCATTTTGTGATTTTTTCTGTGAGAAGCTCATGAAACTACATTTGTAGCTTGAGCGCTCTGAAATCCATCCACAGCTTAGACAGATGGCATGTCTCGAGCAATTATACTTCACTCATGCTTTGCTTGCTGATCAATGTCTCCCTAGCAAAGCTCTGGGAGTGGAATTGGTAGCATCAGAAACTCAGGAAAGCTTTTCATACTTTCCATCACTATCTCCACCGTGAACTCCAACAACCAATGTGGAAACATTAGATATTATATTATGAACAGATCTAGTGTGAAATACATACAGATATGTGGGGCATTCACTACAGTTTGTCAGATAATTATTTAATGTGCCTGAAAGTGTACAGTTTTTAGCATCTGCTTTCATAATGAAATATTAAGACCAACAATAATTTAACTCAATCCAAAGAAATACTGCACTCCACAGAATGCCACCAAAAATAAAATCTTTATTCAAGGATCAAAAATATATCTTTAATCTTTTTCTCACCCCTAACACATTTCACCATTGCAGCTTACTCATAGAGATGAGTGCATAAAAGAGAAAGCATATAAGTGACAGATTTACTATTTAACCACTGCAGGGTTTTGGACATATGTGCTACGTCTAGCCCTGAAGTGGTGAAAACAAACTAACTCCTGCAGTGGCAGTAATATTTTGCTCTGCTGGCTTCCAATAGTTTAAAAAAAAAAAGTGATCTGGGCAGCTGTATAACTGCCTGATCACTTTTACAACCATTCTGTCAAATATGTATTACTGCTTGTGACTTCCTTGGGGAGATTTCACCACTTCTTCCTGTCCCTGTGACAGCAGTAAAAGAAACGGTTGTCACTTAGACAGAACTAGTGGTTCTAACCACGGTTATGCCACAGCGTGCATTTCCAGATTGTTCAATATGGTACTATCCACTGTGTCCAAAGCTAAAAAATAAATTTTGTCCGGAATTAGGCCTTTAATGTCAAGGTAGCTCTGTTCAAGTGGATACTATGTACAAAGGTCTAAACCGAACTGTTCTTCAATCAATAAATAACTATTGGCCTTGAATAGAATGCTAGAAGGGCAATGCTATCAAACTTTGTTCACGTACAGCTGTTGCACAACAGAAAGACTGTACATGCATTGAAGTGTTTGACTTTTTTTTTACTTTGTCCTACTTTTGGTTCACACACATTAACGTGATGCATTGGTGTGAGCTGAAGAAATAGGACATAAGGCAAACTGCCTTGTCTATGCATTAGGACTACATTGGGCAAAGCAATGTTGGGCCTGTGTTAACAAGTCCTGCAAGGGAACTTTCCCTTAGCTTAGTAAATGCTCTACTAACTTCCACCATCCGATCATGCATAGGCAGAAATAGAGTTTTTGTTTCCTTGCATGTGAATGAGTATTCCTTGCAAAGTGAATTTTCACCACATCCACTAAGCTAAGTGAAAATTCCCCTGCAAAGTGAACAGCATATTTGCCTTTAGTAAATTTCTCCACAGTGCCTTTAGCTCCAAATGTTAGTAAGGGCTTGTTTTAAAGATCATTAACTGCTTGCTAGTCATATGTAAATACCTGAATGTCCATAACCTGGCCACAGGTCCACTTTAAACATTTTGCCCTTATTCAAATACATACGTTCCTGCTGTAACTAGTTTTCTGTGTTTCTCTGAATAAGAATAATCCTCTATAAATGTTATTGTTGGTCTTAATATTTCATTATGAAAGCTGATGCTAAAAACTGTACACTTTCAGGCAGGCTATTTTGAGCCTTCATTTGTAAAAGTAAAACAATACACAGACCAAGAGCAATAACACTTGGTGTTGATTGAGCACTAAAGTTAACAACGGCACAGAACACCTAGCAGAATCAAACAAGACATGATACTAGCAATAATTACATAGGAGCATTGGGTGATTGAATATGCAAGTAAGTTGTTACTTAATAGCAGCTATATCCCTTAAAATACCTTGTATAAGCATTTTAGGTTCAGTAAGGAATTGGAAACTAAAGGAAAGCCTTATTAATCTCATGGTGGTTAACAGGTAGAATGTGTTTAGCAAAGCATCAGGGAAAGGTCTAAATCATTGGCTCAGAAGCAGCATTGATTTGCATCTATGGGTTTAGATATTAGAATAAACAGTGTACTACTGCAGATATGTTTGCTATGGTGCAATTATTTACAGTTTTCCACCACCATAAATCTTTCTTTTATTCATGTATAAACAATCCCAGAGGGAGCCACCACACTCTATTTGTAAAGTAATTGCCTGGGTGCTCATCCACAAAAATATCCATACAAATCCAAAGCAGATATAGAGGCAATCACGGAGCGGAGAGAAGTCAGAGCATCAGAGTTTTATTGTCAATGTTTTGATGGAGCTCAGTCCATCTTTCTCAAGTGCCTTGAGAAAGATGGACTGAACTCCATCAAAACGATGACAATGATGCTTTGACTTATCTCTGCTGCAAGACTCGTGAGTTCACTATATATACTTTGTGTATATATAAAACATTTTTACAGACTTTTCTGTTCGGCAGTGTAAAACAGGAGCACTAAGACTTATTTACTATG